ATTTTGCTGCGGGGAGGCCAAAAGCGTGAATGACTGGAGGATGCCCTCCCCACGACAAAAGTCCCGCAAGAGGTCGGAGGAGAACTCACCACCTCTGTCAGAGTGCAGACGCAGGACAGGAAGGTCCTCACGGAACCGCTCACGGGGCTGGAGACGGACTGTGCGGATCCAATTGATCAAGACATCAGGGACCTCACCCTTTCTGCGCAAGGGGAAGACCTTGGTGTAATGCGTGTAGTCGTCAACAACCAGCAGGAAGTAGCGCTCGCGTTCCTTTCCACTGACGCGGGCTGGGTCCCACACATCCATGTGGAGAGTCTGCAGGGGAGCGATCGTCGGGGGAAACGAGGAGGAGTGAGGAGCGGCGCACTGCCGCCCTCGACGCAAGGAAGGCAGGGCAGGGCAGGCGAGGGCGGGAGGGGAGGCAGAGACCTGTGAAGACCAGAAACAAGGAGGCGGGAGTGCATGCCACGAAGGCGTGGCAGGGAGGGGTGACCAAGGCGGTGGTGCCAAAGGAGAGTCTGGTGCAACAGGAGGCGACACGAGCAGGGGGCTGCTACCAGACCTGACCCGGACACCTGACCTGACGCAGCTACCTGAGGAGGCTCAGTATTCAGTGTGTACAAACTCGACCCAGGCCGACGAGTGAACGTGGCCAGGTGACGCCCCGGCCGTGTACACGTGCAGATCGATACACACTGACCCCCAGGAGTGGTGGTAGTGACCATCGCATCCTGGAGAGCAGCGGTACTCACCAAGTTTGTAGAGAACGAGGGGAGGTGAAGACCTGAGAGTGTGCCGGACAGAACCGCCGGACACGTGAGAATAGTGGAGGAACATGCAAGAACTGGGCCCCCTGAGGGGTCAGCCAATCTGATTGGAACAGGTGCAGGGAGTGGAGAGAGTGTGAAACTGTCGCGAAAGAAACAGCGAGAAGCACCTGAGTCAAGTGTGAAGGTGTGCAAGGCCTCAGCTAGCGTAGTACCAAGGAGAGCAGATTCACTAGCACCTAGAGTAGCAGCCTCTATACCTGGGTCGAGCGGCACACACAGGTAAAAGTCACCCTCAGCACTAACAGACACGGCATACATGGCAGCAAGGATAGCATCATGGTCAAGTGCAAAGATATCAACACTAGACCTATGCAGCTCTAGCCAGCGGGGGCGCTCGGCCTCGTCACCAAACTCTGCGCGCCAAGCGTCGTCAAGGCGGGAGAAGCAGCGGTGCTGTGTGTGAAACTTCCCGCATGTCTGACCAGCGCGGTCACCTATGCGAATGACATACGGGCAGCAAACACTACCCCCAGACGCCCCAGGCTGAGCAAACCACTCACGAAGCTGTTGGGGCGTAGGGGTCTCGCTCCGACGCTGCTGTTGCTGCCTCTGGTCACCGCCAGAACCTCCCCTCTGAACAGCTCCACCCCGGCCGCCACCACTGCCGCCGCCACCACTCCCACTGCCACCACTACCACCACTCCCACCGCTGCCACCACCGCCGCCACCAAAGCCCCCACTCCTGCCACCACTCCCACCGCCACCTCCGCCACCTCCACCGCCTCCACCGCCTCCACCACCACCACCCCCGCTGCCACCTCCACCACTCTTGCCGCTAAGAGCAGAAGCAGCCCCGATATCTTCAGTACCAAGGATGTCAACATCAGCAGCAGAAGCGTAGGAGGGGGAAAGGGGGGAGGGAGAACACCCCTCAAATAAGGGTGTGCGAGAAGTGCCACAAGCAGCACCTATAGCGACTACGCTAGTCTCAGCTGCAAGGAGGTGCTTCTCGAGCAGGTCGTTAGTGAGGTCTCTGGGGTCAAGTGCGAGAAAGTGGTCCCTGACTGCGCGAAGAGAGTCAGGGAGGCGGGTGACTATGAAGTAGAGAGTGATGTACATCGGGGGCGGGTTCTTGTCTAGGAACTCGGCTGGGAGGGCAGCGCGGTAGCGAGTGTCGCTAGTGCGAAGGTGGGTAATGAGGTCCTCGACTGTGGCAAAGGCTGACAGCTCGGGAAAAAGGTAGGGCAGTATAAGGCGGCCAAGAGCAGCAGTGGCAGGGGAAGAATAACGAGCGACTACAACGTCCTACAGGGCTTTAGCAGTCTTGTGCTGGCCAAAGTGAGCGCGTTCGGCTAACGGCAGGTGGTTGCGAACGGCTAAGCGAGCAGCAGCGTCACAGGTAAGCCACTGTGAACGAGTCGCACTGTCAGCCGTGGCGGGAGGGGCGAGAGAGGCTCCAGACGTGTGGTCAAACAACGAAAAGCTGTCTCTAGAATCGCTCAGTAGGTACAGCTGTAAGTCGTCGATCCACGTATGAAACTGGATCGGACGGCCCTCATGATCGAAGGTGAGAACACTAAGAGAAGCCATAGCGGGCAGAGTAGGGTGGCGCGCGACCAGCAGGGCAGCACACAGGCAGGGCGGCGCGCGAGCACTAGGGAAGCGCGCAGGGCAGGGCGAGGCGGCGCACGGCTAGGGAAGATCGGTGCGCGGCCAGGGCAGGGTAGCGCAAATGGCAGGGCAGGGCGGCGGCCAGCAGGGCGGCGCGTGGGAAGGGCAGGGCGGTGCGGCGGCTAGCAGGGCGGTGCGCGGGCAGGGCAGGGCGACGCGCAGGCAGAGCAGGGCGGCTCGACGGCCAGCAGGGCGACGCGACAGGCAGGGGAGGGCGGCACGCTACCAGAAGGGCGGCGCGACGGGCTGGGCAGGGTAGCGCGCGGCCAGCATGGCGGCGGGACAGGCAAGGCAGGGCGGCGCACGACTGGCAGGGTGGCGCGACAGGCAGGGCCGGGCAGCGCGACTAGTGGGGCAGCGCTAAGAGCAGGGAACTATGCGGTGGGCCCTAAAAAAAACGGTCCTGGAACAGGGCATGCTCTTAAACCATGTCAGAATACTAAACAAGAATGAATGCACTGAACAAAAAGTTGGTACAAGTACTAAACCTAATTGGATTGTACCCCTTATGGGCTACCCCACTACAGCCTACACAATATAAGCTGTATAACATTTTGACAAGTGTCTCATGTCTACAAGCTACACGAGCGGCAGATAGAGGGGCACGTGTACGGCAACTCCTACAAGGAGTGCGAGAAGCGGTGCACCAAGTTTGCACAGCAGTGTGTGAACAGGTCAACTTCCAGCTTGCAGACCTCAGGAGGCTAGCGTCGACGAAGCTGTTCCGCGCGAGCAAGTGGCCCAAGCCACGGCAGCAGTGAGACCGGAAGGTGCGGGAGTATCTCCAGGGATGCAATGAGATTTTCAACCACAAGCTCCTCGGCTTCGACTTGACTGCCGACGAGAAGGAGCTTCTCTCGTGGGCGCCTATCATGGAGGTGCACCATGAAGAGGAGGGCTTCTACCAGGACCTGCGCAAATTCATGAAGACAGCCGAGGCTACAAGGTGCGTTAACCAATCGCACACATCTCACTAGCTCCTTCACATGCCGATGCCCATCCCAGCAGCTCCTTCACATGCTGTTGCTCACACATCTCCTCTGCTTTCCCCTTGCTTGGTGTTGGGTTTCCAGGCGCTGGCCGAACATCATGCGGATGTGGCAAGCTACGGCGGTGATGCCCCTCTCAACAGTCGAGTGCGAGCGCGGCTTTTCGCGGCAGAATGTGATTAAGTCCTGGGTGAGGGGCGCCTTGGGCAACGCGAGACTGGCAGAGCTGATGGCCATCTCGCTGCTGGACTATGAGATCAACTGGTCAGCAGCTCTTGCCAATTGGCGAGAGAAGCCCAGGCGCCCTGCCAAGTCCCCTGTATTCGCATCTGCGGAGAGGAAGCGCAAAGGGAAGGCCATTGACGAGGAGAATGCACGGGAGAAGTAGGTGCACGGCTGGGAGCAGTCTGAGTCCGATGAGGATGGTGAAGAAGAGGAGGGTGACTATGATGCCGCGGACAACCCTTCTCTTTCAGACGATGAGGGAGATGCAGACGACACCGTTGAGATGGCTGTGCCGGAGTTCTAGTCTGGTCTGACTGACTCTCCAACAAAGTTAGTACTACCGTCATCGCTCGGATAGTAGACAGTGTTGAATAGTAGACAGGGGTTGTCTATTATCCGGTAAGCCATATACGATATAAGATACCAAGTGAATGTATGGTACCGAATCAAGCAAGCTAATATAGCCACATTTGCCACAAGGAACACGATACCAGCAACCCAAAGGGGAAGCATGCAAGAATACCCCCCAAACTCAAGGTTATATGCCCACCAGAGCCAGTACGACTGGCCGGCAAGCCACAGAAGAAGACAAAACCCGCCGTAGCTTTGGAGGCGGAGTGAGGTGAAGGGAAGGATGAGGGGGAGGAGGAAGAGGAACCAGACAAAGTATTGTGAGGTTATGACCTAAGGAAAGGGGGAAACGGGGAAGGAGGATGGGGGAGGGGGGAAGGGAAAGGTAAGGAATTCGGCGGTAAATGGAATAGCGGAACGAAGGAGGGGGGGGTGCAGGGAAGGAGCGAAGGACTTGGATGCAGGGTTAAGAGGAAACAGCACCTGATACTGACTGAGTAACTAATACCCAGAATGGCGCCAAAAGGGAAAAGGCACGAGCCCAGTGAAACGAAGGCGATATTCCACTTTTTAGGCGCCTAATGACTTGAGAGGCGACTAACCACTTGAGAGGCGCCTAACCACTAGAGAGGCGCCTCAAAAGGGGAAAAAGCATGGGCCGAGTAAAACCAAGGCGAAAATCGAGAAGACACAGGGTTGTCATGACAAATATATGATGACTGTAAGCTGTTACGGTACCTTACTATATGGGACGAAGGCAAACGTCTGTGCGATGAGGCAGAAGGGGAGGTCGTGGATGAAATCAAGGAAATCTGTAAGCTGCAGCAGTCTACCTAACCTTATTCAGGCGCTTAAAAATCATGTACCTTATTGAATGCCACGAAGGCGAACGTCTGTGCGAAGAGACAGAAGGGGAGGTCGTGGTAGAACTTGAGGGAGAATGTGAGCTGCAGCAGCCTAGTGTACCTTATTTGGCCCGTAACATACGTACCTTGTTGAACGCCACAAAAGCAAACGTCTGTGCGAAGAGGCAGAAGGGAAGGTCCTGGTAGAACTTGAGGGAGAATGTGAGCTGCAGCAGCAGCTGTGGCAGGAAGGAGAGAAACCGGTCTGTGACAGATGGCGCTCCCTGATTGGTCATCTGGCAGGAATGAGAGAGTGGAGAGATACACAGCGGAGACACATGGCAGGTCATGAGTTTAGGAATATGGCATGACATAGAGTATCTAACACATTAGCTAAAAACCCTAAAAGAATGCTTACCAGGTATATTGCATAGAAGTGAGTTGAAAAGTTGTGGCGATGGTCCGACCGGGACGCATGGTACAGCAGTGACTCGTTAAGAAACTGGTCCCCGTACAGTCTCCAGCACAGCGCTGTAACGAGGACGAAAGTACCGCCCGAAACCGCGCCAAACACTACCGGCAATTGAAGGCCCTTGACAAGACAAGACAGTGAGCCGGCTGTAGGAGTAGCTGTAGCTGATCTTTGTCCTGACTTGGATCTGGCTGTAGCACCAGTGGTATTTGGTTTTGGTCCTGGCTTTAAGCTGGCTGTAGCAGCAGCTGTAGCAGGGATAGAGGAGTTGGGTGGTGAGCTGGCGCTATTGGAACTACTGCCGCTTGTAGCACCACTGCTGTCACTGGGGACATCATGTTGTGGGTTGCTTCGAAGCGAATACGTGTGGAAGAGGTACAGAACGAAGGGCAGGGCGTATATTATTGGGTAGACTCGGAAATGCACCACGATGCCGAACCAAAAAGCAGCAGATAAAATATGGCCTGCCCAGGGAAGGGGGAGGGGAGTGGGAAGGTAGGAGGTGAAGGGGAAAGAGGAGAGGTGGGGAAGGGAGAGGAGAGGAGAGAGAAAGGAAATGATAAACTATGAGAAATAGTTATTAGAAATTCACACACACACACCCTGCAGCACAAAAGATAACAAAGAAAACATACCCTGCAACAGTCCCAGCAGCACTTGCAGAATGAGAGCAGCAGCAAGGGCGTCACAGTTGCCACGTGTAGCGATGGTGACTGTGAAGGGGTTGAAGAGCCACGTGGCAGCACACAGGACTGCCACGCGGTCCGAGATGCCACGCAGGAGCAGGAGCGATCGAATCTGATGACCCACCAGTAGATCTGGCAGAGGAAAAGGGGAAATAGGGGAGGGAATGCCTGACTGGATAACTGACTGAATTCCTGAGAAAATGCTTTACTGTATGGTTGACTGAATCAATGTCTGGCTCTGACGGAATGCGTGACTGAATATCTGACTGAATTCCTGAATGGTTACCTGACTGAATGCGTGACTGTCTGATTCAGTGTTGACGGAATGTCGGACTGAATGCCTGACAGAACCAGTCTCCGAAATTCCTGACGGAAAACCGGACTGGACGTCTGCTGAACGCCAGACAGAAGCTTGACAAAAATCCTCGTCGAAGGACAATGCTCACCAGCTGCATCTGCGGGAAAGAGTAGCTTTTCCTAGAACCCGCTTTTCCCAGGGCGGTGATTTTCCCGTATCAACTTACCCGCTGCCGAAAACAGAAGCTTTCCCCAGAGCCGGTGAATCAGCACGTTCGGCACGAGGATCCACGCGAGCAGCGGCGAATAACGGTACGTGTAACGCTCGTACGGCGAACGACCTAGGGTAACCAGCAGAGCCGCGTCGGTGAACACCAAATAGTCGACGTCGGTGTATTTAACCTCTAAATTCGCGTCTTCCCACTCGCCGAAGACTATCATGAGCAGTCGCGCGACGGCGGAGAAGATTAAGAGGTTCCGCCATGACAACTCCATCGCGACCCACGCGAAGTGGCGAAGCTAGAAGGCGAAATTGTCACTCGGGTAACCCGATCACGAACTACATTTTTCGCAGGACATTTCTTAGCGAGAAACAGAGCTGGGAGACCAACGGATTTCCGAATAAATTCGCGTCAACGCGAGGGAAAAACTAGGATTCACACAGAATCTGGCAAGGTCAAGTGAGCGAGGATGCGAGGCATGATGAAATGGGAGGGTTGATTACTACGGTTCAGAGCGATCGAGTTGATGCTTAAAACGGTTGAGTGGGTTAGATAATGCAGCAAGACAAATCCCAACTCAGGGATGTGTTCCGCAAAGGATTAATTTCGTATACTTCTTCCGTTACATTGCAAACTGCATTTCTAATTCACACAAAGAAGCACCAACAAGCAGCATTGCCAACCATACCCTATGGCCCGGCTAGTCATTATCAACTCCCAACCAGTCAACCTCTCTACTCCTTGGCAGCAGGAGCGGTAGCCGGCTTGGCCTGCGACGCCCGGGACGCCCTCTTCTTGGCCAGGGACTCCGACCGCCTCTCCCTCTGCTCCTTGATGCGCAGCGCCAGCAGCTTCTGGTAGTCGGCAGCAGCAGACTTGGCCTTGGCGACGCGCTGCTTCTTCTCTGCCAGGCGCGCCCGCTTGCGCTGCAGCTTCAGGGGGGTCACCAGCCGCTGGATGTTGGGGCCCTTGCTCTTCTTCTTGCCTGGGGGTGGTGTGAGGGGTGGAGAATGGGAGAAACAGGGAAGGGCATGGGTGGATAAGAGAGCTTGCGCTGCAGCTTCAGGGGGGTCACCAGCCGCTGGATGTTGGGGCCCTTGCTCTTCTTCTTGCCTGGAGAGGGGGGGGAGAAGAGGGAAAGCAGGGGTGGACATGGGTGGATACGAGAGTTAGCGTTGCAGCTTCAGGGGGGTAACCAGCCGCTGAATGTCAGGGCCCTTGCTCTTCTTCTTGCCTGAAGAAGGGGAAGGGGTTGGGAGGAAGGAGGAGGGAGAAACAGGGGTGGACATGGGGGATAACAGAGCTTGCGCTGCAGCGTCAGTGGTGTCGCCACGCGCTGGATGTTGGGTCCCTTGCTCTTCTTCTTGCCTGGGAGGGGCGGGGGTGCGGAAGAGGGGGAAAAGAGAGGCGGGGAGGGGAGGGGAGGAGGGCTGAAGGAGGCTCCAAGGTGTCTCCTGCTCTTACTACATCCTCAAAGTGTCCTCTCTGATCTACAATGCGAGTATCATGCTCATTACACTCACCCACTCCTCCTCTCCCAGTCTCCCACTCCTTTAGGCACACATCCCCGTCACAATCACAGCTTGTCCCCATTACAGTCACAAAACATCCCTGACTCGTTATACGTACCCTTGGCGGTGGTGTACTTGCGGCGGTTCGTATTGACCTACTTGGTCACATCATCCTCCTTGCTCAGCGCGAACAGCAGGAGGGTCACTCATCCCCGTTATAATAAGAATCCGATATACGTACCCTTGGCGGTGGTGTACTTGCGGCGGTACGTGTTGACATACTTGGTCACATCGTCCTCCTTGCTCAGAGCGAACAGCTTTCGGATCTTGGACGCCCGCTTGGGTCCGCGCATACGTGGCTTCTCAGTGTCCGTCAGACCAGGGAGATGGTTGTCGCCTGATGGGGCGGGCCGGGGGGAGAGGATGGTGTGCGTGTGAGGGGGGAAGGGGGGGGGGGAGGATGGGGGGGGTGTGGAGAGGGAGAAGGCTTCCTTCAAATGTTAAATTCCACAAATTTGAAGGGCATAGGAACAACTTAGCCTGACTAGGTTCAGCACTGACAGGTTCTGGCTGACTTCATATGTGTACAAAGCTAGAATCCCCGATTAACAAACAGGGCGTCCGCGCAACTTACCCTGCTTGACGATGACCAGGTTCAGCACAGGTAGTTCCTGGCTGACTCACATGTATACAAAACAAAGATCCCCGATGAAAAAAGGGCGTACGAACAACTTACCCTGCTTGACGATGACCAGGTTCAGCACGGACAGGTCCTGGCTGACGATGCACCCGCGCACCGACTTTCTGCGCCGCTCCCCGTTGCGCCGGCCGTGGCCGCGGAAGCAGGGCACGCCTGATCGGGGAGAGGGCGGAAGAGGCAGGCAAAGGCGGGAAGAGGCAGGCGAAGGCGGGAAGAGGCAGGCGAAGGGTGGAAACGAATGGCGGGTGAGGGCGTTGGGGGATGGGGTAGGGGAGGAAGGGGGGGGAGAGGGGAGGAGGGAAGAGGGAAAGGAGGGGGGCGATTTGAGTCGACAAATTGCATCAGAGCAACTTTGAGGGGGGTTGTGGGAGGGGGGGAAGGGAGACGAGAGGGTAAGGTATAGCGAAGAATTTGCTTAAATGAGGGGGGTGCGTGTAGCAGACCCTTTCTTCACAGAGAAACGGTTAGAAATACCAGCTACCCCTGTTGAGAGGAAACAAAGAACTACCTGTATACACGTGGGCTAGGATGAGAACTTACCCCTGTGCATGCGGATTTGGACGCGGCCGGGTGTACGAAGACCTTGCTTCAGGGGGGGACGACTTCGTGTTACGGGCAAAAAATAGAACCACCCTCACATGTGTAAGCTGGAATCAGAACTTACCCCTGTGCATGAGGATTTGGACGCGGCCGGGTGTGAGAACACCTTGCTTCATGGGGAAACCCTCCTTGTCGCACCCTCCCTTGATCTTAAAGACGTAACCCTTGAACTCCTGAACATGAGCAAAGAGGGAATGAGCAAGGACGCACGATACGAGCAAGGAAGAGGAAATGAGCAAGGTCGAATGACGGAATTGACCCTCCTTGTCGCACCCTCCCTTGATCTTAAAGACGTACCCCTTGAACTCCTGATGGTGAGGTTAAGGGGAAGTGGGGGATAAAAGAGGGAATGAGAAAGGGCGCACGATGTGTTGGACCGACTATATATATTACTCCTTGATTAAAAAGCGTATCCTTTGAGCCCCTGTTGTAGTCGTGGTTTGTAGTGGTGAGGCGCAGGGGACGTGCTGGGGGGGAGGGGGGACAGGTGAGGGGGGACAGGTGCGGGAGTGAAATGAGGGAGTGAAGGTTAATTGAAACAATAACTACGAAATGAGGGTTAGCGATCTGAGGCCCTGGGGCTGGAACCACTTACATCGCCGAGGGAGTCGCCGCTGACCTCCTGTACGGAGGTGAATAACGAAAATAAACTAAAAAATAACAGGGTTACCGATCTAACACCTGGGGGCTGGGACCACTTACATCGCCGAGGGAGTCGCCGCTGACCTCCTGTGCGGAGGTGAATAACGAAAATAAACTAAAAAATAACAGGGTTACCGATCTAACACCTGGGGGCTGGGACCACTTACATCGCCGAGGGAGTCGCCGCTGACCTCCTGTGCGGAGGTGAATAACGAAAATAAACTAAAAAATAACAGGGTTACCGATCTAACACCTGGGGGCTGGGACCACTTACATCGCCGAGGGAGTCACCGCTGACCTCCTGTGCGGAGGTAAATAACGAAAAACAACTCAGAAATAACAGGGTTACCGACCAGACACCCGGGGGCTGGGACCACTTACATCGCCGAGGGTGTCGCCGCTGACCTCCTGAGAGATTCTCTTGTCGAAGAACGCACGCCTGCACGCCACGTGGATCGGGAGGAAGACACACGTTCGGAAACAGGGTTAGTCGAGGGAGACTAGGGAAAAACAGTCTTAGACTCTGACAACAGCAACAGGAAAGGATTCAAAAATGGCCCGTCCTGGTCCCTGCGGAAAGCTTCACACCTCCATCGTGGAATCATGGGTGACTCGCTATTGAGCTAGCAAAACTAAACCTAAGCGACTTGTCGATGCAAGATACACGCTTGATGACCGATACAAGCAGTGCACGACGCGACGTAAGAAGGTGCCGTGTCGGAGGAAGTTGAAAGTCTCTCACAGACTTTCAGGTCCCCTTAATTTCCGAGAATCCTCAGTAATCTCCAGCACTACTCGGAGTCCGAACGAATTCAAGCGGTGTCACACCCTAAACGAACAGTTTCGTCGCTGCGACTCTGTTCCACTGGGTGTGTCGCAGCTACCATCAACGTTACTCTCGGCTTCGTCCACGAACATAAGGCGTTTCTTTAACGACTGCTCCTACACTGCTTTAGAACCCCCTCCCCCCCCCACAGAGTCGTCGCGAAAATCGACACTCCTTTGTACAGTCTCAAAACCTGTTCACCTTGACGAATACGCGATCCCTGATACTGGATCCTGCTTTAGCGTTGTCTAGATCCGGTTTATGGTCAAGCGACCCCGATCTAGGTTAAGCTAAATCTGACGACCAATCGAAGAAGCTGAAGGTAACGTCTAGCTGCTGAACCTGCGCCGTTGCTGACCGCGAAGGAAGGTACTGTCGGTGATTAACGATATCTTCCTTCGCACCTTCTTCCCCTTGCACCTAAAGTTGCGCATCCGAATCGCCAGTAAAATGTGATTCTGATAGAAAGGAACGCCGAGGGGGACTTACAGCTTGAGATCGTCATCGATTTCGACCTTCTTCTGGCACCCCGTCGTGGGGTTGGCAATGTTGAGCTGCAAATCAGATCAAATAAAATCAAAGGACGGGGACGAAACATCGTCAGTGAAGCTCACGTCCACGACATGAAATGGATTCCCTCTGCAGGACTGGCGACATTCCGCCGGAATGCTGAAGAAAATACGATGAAAATTGGCAGCTGAAGAGACGAAGCCAGAAGGGAAGGAAGGGACTTGTTCTGAGACGCGTTGATATACGGGAAGGTGATAAACCCGGAGTAGGACATGAGACGGGTTGGACGCGGCAGACGAGGTGAACGGGCCGGAGCTACTTCATATCGAGTGGTTTTAAGAATTCTCAAAAAGCTAACCCGCCAAATTCAGAAAGCTAATCTCGAAAGGACGGGCTAAGGAGCTAGTATAGATTATGCCATTACGATCCCACGAGGCCGCCGTGTTTCGCGCTGGAGATAGCAACCCTAAACGCGGCTCACCTTCATGGTTGCGGAGCTCAGGCGCGAGGGAGGCGAGCGAGAAAAGGGGAAGGGAAAGGAAAGAGCAGAATAAAGTAGGTTTAACTTTTAGGGTTTGAGGGGCGCGAGGGAGGAAGGTAACGGGGAAAGAGGGCGATGGGGAAGAAAGGCGGAGAAAATACAATACCGGAGAATGGGGAAAATGTTCGCGGGGAGCGATGGGGGGAATGTGGTCATTGGATGGGGGAAGATGAGAAATGAGGATAAATATACATATACAGTTCGAAATAAATATGAATATATTAAAATTATGCAGATTAGGTAGTTTACGCTAGAGGAAACGCAATGCCTAAAAAACAAAGCTCCGCTGTGTCAGAGGCGGGAACTCACGAAATTATAGGTTTCGCCACACTGTCGCGCCCATGTCGTTGAACGAAGAAACATAGCACAGCATTGTCACCCTCCCCGCCACAAAACGGAACACACTTGCGGCCAAGCCAACCTGTCAGCAGCAGCACCACATGGCCACCCGTGCCGCATTTGAGAACCACCACCAGGCGAGTCGCGTCGAATTTCGACTTTGCCAATGGCGCGACGCGCTGCGTTTCTGAAGCATATCATAATCTCATTTCAATTTCTACCGCACCTCAATCTCAACATTTCCTTCCCGTCTCTGTTCTTGACCGGCAAACACCCTACAAGCCATTTTGTAATTCTATGGGAACCGTGTTTGCCAGCAGCAGTACATCAAGTCTGCTGTTTCCGCCACCTCGTTTGTGACCGGTGAAGTGTCGTATGCAGGGTGGAAGACAAGAGAAAACGAAAACCCATTCTTCTCTAGTCTAATAAGGCAAGTGCTAACCATTTACTGCTGTATCCCTGCTGTAGCAGACGTCGTTCAGGAAAGCAACTGACCTGACATGACCGTACAGAGCAGCTGACATAAAACGAACTGTGACAGACTACTGTCCTGTAATCGCGGTAGCTAGGCTGCTAAAACGGTAAATTCGCTGCATTTTCCACGCTGTGCCTTAACGAGACCATTACCACGCCATGTTTAATTCGCTACCTGTAAACTCAACGATTCGTACTCGTCGGAACCCCCAGTGTAGCCCTCAGCATATCTCTCAGTGTAGATTTCAGTACCCAGCGGCCAGAGTATCAGGTCGTTCCATACACAGACAAGCCATGTATCGAGCCACGACCGCGTTTTCTTTCGCTCTACTCGCCTTTTTCTCGATTGCGCTCCTCCCCTCCGCATTTGCCGGCTCCTGTCCCGCTTTTGTTGGCGAGAAGGCTGCATGCGGCGCCGCGACGTGCGGCCGTTACGTTTTCAAGGGCGCCTTCGCAAACAGTCGCAGTGATGTCGCACAGTATCGCGTGAGATCCGTGCGCGACGGTTTGCGACTCGGGCGACGTGCAGCGCCTGCTGACTGCTGCCACATGTGTCGCCAGCAGCCGCAGTGCAGCTACTGGAACTTCCTCGCAAGTTCCGGCACTTGCTACCTGTACACCAGCGGGATTTGCGCCGCGAATAACGGAATCAGAAGCGTCTACTCTCCCAGGGAGCCCGATTCTTAGTAAGCAGCAACTTTTACGTCTTAATGTTTCACCTCTCCTTCCCGAGGTCACGCCTAAAACTACCTTCTAAGTAACACGCGCCTGTCACTACCTCCTGAGTTCAACACTTCTTGTATTCTACATCTTGATCGTGATTCGATTTGTTCCTTGGCAGTGTGGGCGGTCGATGCAGCTGGCACGGACAGCAAGAGTATAGATACCAAGGTGAGGCGCCTAATAACGGGTATATGGTACAGGTTTCTGTGGCGGAATCCCGCCTGCTTGACCTTTCAAAATCTTCCCCTTCCCCACGCCACTCCCCCTCCCCCTCCTTCCCCCTCAACCCATCCCTCCCCGGCCCAACTTCTCTCCAGCGGAAACCGCCCCCTTTGCGCGCCCCTACCAACAACTCCGCCCAACCTCCTTCCGCTTCCTTTCCGCTTCCCGCCTGCACACGTTCCCCCACCGTTTTCACTCTTCCGCCTACAATTCCCCCCGTTTCTGCCCCTTTCACGGCGGAGGCCGCTCCCCCCGCGCGCCCCTACCAGCAGCTCCGCCCGACGTCTTTCTGCCTCCTCTCTGACATGCTCATGTTTTCAATCAACATCCCCCCTCGCCCCCACTCCGTCCCCCGTTTTCCCCGCTCCTTCCCCCCATGCAGCGGTGGCCGTTCCCCCCGCGCGCCCCTTCAGCAGCTCCGCCCGACGTCCTTCTGCCTCGTATCCGACGCGCGCCTGCACATCAACATGCGCCTCACGGGGTACCTCGATAACAACCGTTCAACCGCACCCCACCCTTTCTTTCACCCCCGCCTCTCGCCCCCTGCAGCGGAGGCAGTTCCCTCCGCGCGCCCCTACCTGCAGCTGCGCCCGACGTCCTTCTACCTGGTATCCGACGCGCGCCTGCACATCCTCTCAACCCCCTACGAATCTCCCTCCTTCACCCCCCCTTCTCTTTCTTCTACAGCGGAGGCTGCTCCCTCCGCGCGACCCTATCAGCAGCTGCGCCCGACGTCCTTCTGCCTCGTCTCCGACGCGCGCCTGCACATCAACATGCGGCTCACGGGGTACCTCGATAACAACCGCTCCGATATAATGGCCGCGCTCGTGGCCGGCGCTAAAGTGCGCACCTGGATTAGGTGAGGCTAGGAGGGTGGGGGAGGAGGGAGAGGGGGTGTGGGCGGGAGAATGGAGGGAAGGGGGTTGGTGTGGGCTAAGGGAAGGGGTGGGAGGGGGGTTTACACCTGGCTGCGCCCGTGACTGGCGCTAAAGTGCGCACCTGGATCAGGCGAGCCTAGTGGGGAGGGGAGGCTGAGGAGGGGAAGGCACGGAAAAGGCCGCTTAAGTGCGCACCTGGATCAGGCGCGCCTACAGGAGGAAGGGGAGTTGGGCAAGGGATGGAGGAAGGGGAATTGTTGGGGAGGGAAGGGCGGCGGGATCTAGAATAAACCAAGTGATTGAAGCAGAGCCCCTCATTCTTACCAAATACCTTTGTACCCACCAATCAGGGAGCTTGGGTTTGTATGGTGGACCAATCAGCAAGGCGGGAGCAAGACGCAGCATTCCCTTCGGCTGGTCGCGCGGCGCGGCCCGAAGCAGGAGCGCGGCGAGGGGTTCATGGGGCGAATCGAGGTGGATGGGATCCCGGTTCCGCGACTGGGGGTGAGTGTACCGCGGTCTATGGCGTATCTTTGGGAAATCGCAAAAAATCGTGTTAGTATTTTCAAGTATTTGCGGAAATTCGAACTTTTACATTTGATCAGCTTCTTGTAAATGAAATCGGGCCCGAATTCTTCCCTCTTTCGTTCCAACCCGTCCCGTCCAACCTGTGCAGTTGGGTGACGAGCTAAGCCTATTCGACGGAGAAGGAACTGTGGCTTACGCACGGCAGGAAAGAAGCGGCAACTCACTCTTCCCTCCCACACTTGAACCCCCCTCCTTTCTTCCTGGTGCAGTTGGGTGACGAGTTGAGCCTGTTTAACGGAGAAGGAACCGTGGCTTACGCACGGCAGGAAAGGGCGGCAGTTGCGACGTGCCTGCTTCTTGTCCAAATTCCCCCTTCTCTCTTTCTTCCAAACCCCTCTTGTGCACCCTGTGCAGTTGGGTGACGAGCTAAGCCTATTCGACGGAGAAGGCACCGTGACCTACGCACGGCAGGAGAGGAGCGGCAACTATGACGTGGATGTTTATTCCGTCAAGCTGGCAGGGCTGATGGAGGTGGGTACTACACTCAGTGGCACACTCAATGTATGAATGATAGACTGTGATATGTTTATAATACTATCGGTACACTATGGGAGAAAGAACGAGAGTAAAGGAGCGGTAACTACGATGTGGATGTGTACTCTCTCAAGCTAGCAGGGCTGCTAGAGGTGGGTGCACTGCGTGGTACTGATATGAGAAGAAACTGTAGGAAGATAAGTGGTAGTGACGACGTGGATGTGTATTCTCTCAAGCTAGCAGGGCTGCTGGAGGTACGTGCATTGTGTTTTATTCTCACGGTATTATCAGTACACTCACAACACAATTGATGGACTGCATTGATACACTCACAGTACTATCAATACACTCTGGGCGAAGGGACCGCAGATGGAGTGGAAGAATTACGGCATGGATGTGTATTCTGTCAAGCTGCCAGGGCTCCTGGAGGTGGGTACACTGTCGACCTAGGGAGTACCGAAACTTTGGAAAAGGCCCTAACACCAACACCACTATCAGACCAGCACAAAACATCATATGCTCATTTTTTAGTCGAACAAAAAAATCAAAACGCCATAGGTCCATGTGTTGTGCCCATACTCCTGGTCTGAGCCAATGGCAGTGGGTGATACCCTGTAACGCCCAGCTAGGGAGTATCCCCCTCGGGAGCATCCCTCTTGGGAGTATCCCCCTTGGGAGTATCCCCCTTGGGAGTATCCCCCTTGGGAGTATCCCCCTTGGGAGTATCCCCCTTGGGTTTATTCTTGAGTTTAGGAACTTTCTTTGTTCTTGTTTGCGTGCTCCCACATTCCAGGCAGAGGTCCGGCTCCGGCCAGCCCATCCATTACAGCAGGAGGAGGAGGACGCGGAGGTGCACTTGATGCTGGACCTTGGGAGTATCCCAGAGGTCCGGCTCCGGCCAGCCCATCCATTACTGCAGGAGGAGGTGCACCTGATGCTGGATTGTCTGCCTTGGGAATATCCCAGATCTCAGAATGACCTGTGAATCATATTTGGAGTATCCTGGGGCTTTAACTCTCGCTTTGTTCTCTCCCTTGCGCTCCCACACTCCAGGCAGAGGTCAGGCTACGCCCGGCCCATCCGCTGCTGCGAGAGGAGGAGGATGCGGAGGTTCACTTGATGCTGGACCTTGGGACTATCCGGCACTCGTAACCGCCCATTCTCGCGCTCAAACCCTTCTCTCGTTTCCCTTCTTGTTTCAATCTTCCAGGCAGAGGTTCGCCTCCGCCCAGCCCATCCTTTACTGCAAGAAGAGGAGGACGCGGAGGTGCACCTGATGCTGGACCTAGGGAGTATCCGGCACTCCCCGAGAGTGCATGGTGTGGTGGGGCAGGCGTACAGAGATGAAGGGTGAGTGTGGGAGGAAAGGGATGAGGGAGGTAGGAGAAGAGGAGGGGAAAGGGGGAGTGAAGGGGAGGGACAGGTGAGGTGGTTCAGGACCTTGGGAGTATCCGACATTCGCCCAGAGTGCATGGCGTGGTGGGGCAGGCGTACAGAGATGAAGGGTGAGCGTGGGATAAAGGGGAAGGAAGTGGGGGGGGAGGGGGAGGGGAGGGAATGGGGGCAGTGAGGGATAAGCGGACCTAGGGAGTATCCGGCACTCACCCAGGGCGCACGGCGTGGTGGGGCAGGCTTACAGAGATAAAGGGTGAGTGTTGAAGCAATGGGATGGGGGAGGGAAGGGGGCGAGAGAGGAGGGTGGAGGAGTGATGAAGGAGGGGAGGGGGGGGGGAGTCCAGTTGAGGTAAACCAATCTTGGGAGTAACCGATCGAGCACTCTCCTAGAGCGCACGGCATGAACCATAGGTTGATTGGCATGCTCTACCAGGAGCGTGCCGTGGCCTACACAAATTCACTGAATTCAGGTCTCATCATACAATTTCGTTAACTTTGTTCCTTCCTGCCATTGATCTCAACCCTTGCAGATCAAATCATGACCTCAACTATGCCATCCTGGCGAATCTCATGACTCGTGCCCAATCGGTTGTTGATGATGTGTCGCAAGAAGATTGGTCGTCAGACTTGAATGCTCCGATAAGTGGGCTGGAGAGCGAAGGAAGTGAGAGCGACAGCTTCAGACAGACTGGTGAAAAGAATAATGATGTGGAAAGTGGTGGCATTGGCAGGATAGACGCATATGCTGGCGGTTCAGGAGAGTTCCTATCAGAAGGTCGGGCAGAGGACTACATTTCGTCGTCCATTGTATCCCCCGACTGTCATGTATCGCAGTATAGAAGCCCAGAAGGGGCTACAACTGTTTATGGACGAAGATAAATTACTTATAGATGGAATACGATCAATTTCCAACCCTGAAAATATCATGTCTGGTTTACTTGTGGTGTAGCCTACAACATACAAGGCGTTTCATGATGAGCGAATGGCCCACAACAATACAGATTGCGTAAATGTATGGTATAACGGGTACAGATCCGCCTGGTTCACGGTGTGTTCACCACGTCACTACTCACATTGCTGACATAAGCAGTGCGAAGGATCTGGCCCATGGAGCTTCCACTCTCTGATTGTGCTCGACTTCGCGAATGACATTCGGGATTACGACGCGTTCGTGCGTTGTCGCACACAGCGCTGCGAAGCGTTTCGATGGCCCACTCAATCCGTTCCACGCCATTCGCGCCTCTCGCCACCGCAGCAATGTTGTCATGGTGGCGCCCATTCCAAGAGATCCTACCAGCTTTGGTTTTGGGCGGCTCCGACCAAAGCTAGATCCAGCAACACGAGCCCTCGGCAGGTCAACCAATCAGCTGAGTGCTTCAACCCCAACGGGCTCAAGATCTCATCCAGAGCGAAGCCGCCATCTCGATTCGGCAGTGATCGGACCTGACCCGGAGGTCACTGTCAGGTTCGAGGTGTTTGCTTTGGTGCTTCTGTGTAGCCTTCTTGCGAGTCATCTCAATGGCATGTGTAGTGGATCGTGCTTCAGAAAGGTGCTTTACGTTCTGGAATGTTTCAGTCGTTGTAGAAACGTTTGAGATGGGTGACAGATATTTAGTATTTTGGACACCACCACCCTAGCGCCCCCTCCTCCCATCTTCCCTACCCAATGTTCGCTCCTCTCATGCTGTGAGCCAATTTCCACTTCCATCTCGATTCGACACATCCTCTTTGTCGAAACGACTCTCGTGTACTCCCTTGGTTTTTCCTGATCAAACGAACAGCGCACTCCCTGCCCGTGCGATCTTGCCGTGGATCGCAACGTGCAAATCATCTGGCTCGCGTGGCAAAACCTTCCGCAGCCGAGTTGTGGAGGAGTTTCAGGCTGCTGCTTTGGTAGATTGACTTTTGTAGCTAGTAGCTGCTGTCACGGTGCGCAGTTTCCTAACAAGTCAGTGATTTGCATTCCGAGTTTGGGTTTACGTCCCGCAACAGCTGTCCCAGCCGTCGAGCATCAGCCGCTTCTGAAGGTTCTGTAGCTGCGAGGAGGCGTGTCCGCTGCAAATATTCACCTGCCATTTAGTCGATCCGTTCGCAGAGAGTTTTGCCTGCTGCTCGCGGCGGTCTTCGTTCCATTCGCGGCATCCGCCTGCTGTGTCGTCTTGTGCGGGCCCTGCGATTCGACGGCCACCGAGAGACGTTGTACCGGAAAAAGGGTGTTCCAGGTCTTTTTCTGACGAAGATGTCAGGTCTTTTTCTGCACAAAAGGGCCTCTGAACGCCAGGTTGAGTGAGAATTGAAGTCTCTTTGTCGAGGATTTTGAGCTCTGTGGCGAAGATTGCAAGTTCATTCGCGAAGTTCGCAAGTCTCTTTCGGCGGCGCCTAAAGCACCCGTTGAGTCCGTGCAAGGATGGCGGCGTCCGCCGCTTTTTCGGCTTCCGCCGCTTCGTCTTTCTGTCCATGCGCGCATGCGCATGTGGACGGCGCATCCCCCCTCTCTTCCCTCTCAACCCTCAAGGCCTTGCAAGATCATTCTCTGGGTAATATTCGCAAATTCCCCAGCGCCCTAAGTGTAAACGCCGTCGAAGTGGGATCCAAGGCGCTTCCGAAGGGTTCTCGCAAGCGATTGGCCCATCTTCGTCTCTCCGCCGTGCGCGCCACGTCAGCATCTTCCATTCCCCCTGGCGGCTCGATTCGGCAAGCCAATCACAGTGAAGCAAGCAGATCCGTCTCGTCGCACCACTTTCCCTCTAAGCTGACGTCAGCATCATCATGGCAACAGCCAAGTCAGCAGCGGGACGAATTCCCGTCAAGAAGGAATAATCTTGCCGCTAAAGACGCGATTGCTACGTCAGGACCGGTCAGCAGCCCAGAAGATTTCGACCTGACCGCCCGTGGCGCGGAGAACAGCGGCAGCAGCAGCACGACGGGCAACGGCGGAGATTTTATTTCGCTTCCCGAAGGAACGGCGTCGCGGACCAAATCGGTTGTTCTTGCCGCCAGGGTTTTTCACATGCAGCTGGGCAAACCGGTGGTTCAAAATTCGCCCCCCTTAAACCCTGCGTTTCCGGGTCGCAATCAGCAATCTGTGGTAACCTCCGATTCGTCAACCTTCGCTTCGGTTTACAAGCCGGTAAAACCGCGCGAGCATTCACCGTACAAGCCTAGGCGGCCTTGGGGGCTTCCTGAGGGAGAAGGAGAGGGGGCGGATAGGGGCGATGAGGGCTTTGGGTTTGAGAACAGCAGCAGCGGCGGTGGCAGCAGCAGCAGCAGCACTGTTTACACAAGGAGGGGCGTTAGCAGCAGGGGCATCAGCAGCAGCAGGCGCAGCCGGAAATTTTCTGCAACCACCAGCACTAACAGAGACCGTATATCCCCCCCTCGCCCAACTCCTTCCCGCCATCCTTGGGTTTCTGCGCCCCACCCTGCGCGCCCCCCTGTGTCCGCGGGGCAAAAGGCGGAGGCGCTGCGCATTTTGAGGGACATGCTGGCGGAAGCAGGGCGCAGGGAGGAAGAAGAGGCGCGCGGAAATCTGGGCTTCGGGTTTAGGGGGGTTGAGGGTTTCAGCGGGGCAGTGGGGTTTAAGGGTGGTGTGGGGCAGCGGGATGGGGAGGGGGGAGCGGAGAGGGGGAAGGACGGGGATGGGATTAGGGGAAGGGAGAGGTCTGTGGGTGTGCGGGGGGACAGGAGTGTTATGGATGAGTTGATTGACTCTTTTGGGGGTGATAGTAACGAGGGGAGTTTTAAGGAGGTAGCTCGGGGTGCGGCGAGTAAGCGGGGAGAAGAGCCAGAAGCAGAAGCAGCAGGAGCAGCAGAATATGCGGCAAGGGCGGTAGGAAATGCAGGGCATGCAACCATTTCGCTCCCAGGAGCAGCAGTTTCATCCCCAGCAGCACCAGCAGCACCAGCAGCACCAGCAGCAGTAACGACAGCATCACCAGCACAACCAGCAGCGGTAACAGTAGCAGCACCAGGACCAGTAGCAGCAGCACCAAAAACTGTCTCTATGCTTCCCAGCATTTCTCCGATTTCACACGATCGTCCTCTTGCTCCTCCTCCTCCGCCTCCTGCTCCCGCTTCTGATGTTCCAGCACAGGATAAGGCAGAGTCAGCAGCAGCAGCAAAGGAGAAGGCAGCAGAGGAGAAAGGGTCACCTCACAAAACAGGCGAGGGGGAGGGTGAATTCCCCAGTGCCATTCCACGGATGCACGTGGGCGTGCCTCTTCCCATAAAGCCAGGCTCTACCCTCCCTTCCCTCAACGCCAAAACCTCTTTGCTACGCAGACCGGTCGTGCCTGCTGTACTACCAGAGGGGAGGCTGGACGGATCAGGGTTTATAGGAGGGTCAGGTTTTAAGAGTGCAAGCGGAGGGGCGCATTTTGTGGCCTCGAGCAGGTTTAAAGAAGGGTTAGGGGCGCATTATTCTACCCAGCAGCCAAACGTGTTCAAGACAACCGTGGCTGTGGCTTTTGTGCCTCCTCGTCCTGCTGCCGCTGCTACGGCTGCCGTTACTCCGGCTGCTGCTGCTCCTCCTCCTGCTGCTGCTGCTGCTGCTGCTGCTGCTGCTGCTGCTGCTGCTGCTGCTGCTGCTGCTGCTGCTGCTGCTGCTGCTGCTGCTGCTGCTGCTGCTGCTGTTCCCCCTGCTGTTCCCCCTGCTGTTCCCCCTGCTGTTCCTGCACACCCGCCCCCCGCTGCCCCCCCTGCTCCCCTTACTGCCCCTGGTGTCGCTCTCGAATCTGCTGCTTCGGTTTGTGAGGCTAGCACGGACCAATCAACAGCAACAGTTTTCGAGCCTCGGTTACCAAGCCTCGACATTTCCCAGCCTGATACTGATGCTCAGCAGAAAAAAACCGCTTTCATTGACCAATCTGACGACATGCCAGTGCTACAGGCTCGGCCTAAGCCTGTCAGGCCCGGAACTGGTTCGGCCGAGGCTCGGCCACCAGCCACTTTGTCCTCCAGACCTGTTAGAGTGTTTAGACCATTGGGAACATCTAGGGAGGATGCTTATATGGAACGTGCCAATAACGAAGCGGTGGCACAGGGCAGGGTAAGTGCTTATATTCCAGTGCACGTTGAGCCTACAGGAGGTGCTTATAGCGAAGGTCAGGTGGCAGGGTTGGCGAGCAAGAGAATTGACAGAGAAAGAGGATGGACGGGTGAGGGAGACGAGCGACTGGGAGAAAGAGAGGGCAAGGAAAGGAGTGAGGGAGTGAGTGTGAGCAGGGAAGAGGGAGAGGAGGGGAAAGTGGTTGTTACTGGGGGGAGGAGGTGGAGGAGGGAAGGAGGAGTGTGGAGCGTGGAGGAGATTGAAGTGGGAAAGGAGGGGGCAGGGGGAGAAGCAGAGGAAGAGAAGAATGCAACAGAGGTGGGGAGGGTGCGCAGAGGAGACAGTGTTACAGGAACGGCAACAGAATGCATGGCGGCAGGAACAGGAGTAAGAGGAGAGGAACAGGTGAGGGCAGGAGAGGGGGTGAGACGGCCGGAATGGGTGGTTGGGCAAGAAGGGCTGAGGAAGAAGAGAGGAGGAGCAGCAGAAATATGTGCGACAGGCAGAGCTGCTGCGGCGGCGGCGGCTGCTGCTGCTGCTGCTGGTGCTGGTGCTGGTGGTGGTGGTGCTACTACTATTATCCCAAAATCAGCCTTTTTAAAGTCCGCTTCGTCCAAATCAGGCCGTCTCAAATCGGCGGGATCGAAATCAGCAGCAGCAGCAGCAGCGGGTATGTCTAAAACGGGGATATCCGGGGCAGAGAAGCGGGAGCACAGGAGAACGAGCAAGGCGGAAAGAAAAGCAGCTAGAGAAGCAGCAGCCAACACATCTGCACCCACCCGAGCCGAGATAATCGAAGTGGGAAAAGCAGGAATGGCGGTTAAAGACCTAGCGGGCCTTCTAGCGGTCGGCGAGGGGGATATAGTGCGCGCACTGTTCATGAAGGGCGTTATAACGAACGTGAATCAGGCTCTTAACGAGGATATGGTGGCGGTGGTGTGCAGGGAGTATGGGGTGGAAGTGCTTGGGCCGCAGGAGGGCGGCGTGGAAGAAAGTGCGAGGAAGGTTCGGGAGTTTGTGGGGGAGGAGGATCGGGAGCACCTGGTGCCGCGGCCGCCTGTTGTGACTGTGATGGGACACGTGGACCATGGGAAGGTGAGCGTAAAATTTTATATGGGACACGTGGACTATGGGGCTTCTGGTTGTGCCTGTTGTGGCTGTGATGGGCCACGTGGACCATGGGAAGGTGAGTGAGACACTCATGGTACCCTTTTTTGAGTTGATTCAAGAATCCCCTCAGAAGGATGATCGCGAGTTTCTGGTGCCGCGGCCGCCTGTTGTGACTGTGATGGGACACGTGGGCCATGGGAAGGTGAGACTCAAAGATTGTTTGGGCCATGTGGACTATGAGACACGTGGACCATGGGAAGGTGAGTGAGACTCACGTAGTACCCCTTTTCCGAGTTGACTCAAAAATCACCTCTGCAGGGGGGAACAGGAGCATTTGGTGCCGCGGCTGCCTGTTGTGACTGTGATGGGCCATGTGGTGTGCACCATGGGAAGGTGAGTTTCAAATGGTGAATGGCACACGTGGACCATGGGAAGGTGAGTTTCAAATAGTGAATGGCACACGTGGACCATGGGAAGGTGAGTTTCAAATAGTGAATGGCACACGTGGACCATGGGAAGGTGAGTTTCAAATAGTGAATGGCACACGTGGACCATGGGAAGGTGAGTTTCAAATAGTGAATGGCACACGTGGACCATGCTGCATCTAGTTGTGCATGTTGTTGTGACTGTGATGTGATGGATCATGTGGTGTGGACCATGGGAAGGTAAGACACACATAGTGGCATCCCCCCCTCCCTCCCGCACCCCTTCCCCCTTCGTTTTTAAAGTTTTGGTCTCGCACGCAAGCTCACTCAAACGCTAGACCACCACAGAAGTGAGCTTGCATGTTTCTTGTCTGCAAATCTCAGAGCTTCTGGCTGGTGTGTCTTGAGCTGAATAAACAAAATCAAGGGTGCACTTCGTATTCTCTTCTTTCTCCTGTTGACATCTTGTTTCGCTGTTTGCTTTCTTTGCTTGTTTTCCTGTTGCGTGCCTCATGTGGACGTGCATGTGTGCTTATGTGTGCATGTGTGCTTATGTGTGCATGTGTATCTGTGTGTATATGTGTATGTGTGCGTGCGTGTGTGCGTGCGTGCGTGCGTGCATGTGTGTGTGTGTGCGTGCATGCTACAGACTTCACTACTCGACTACATTCGGCACACCAAGGTGAGCTGCTACCCCGTCAGGTCAGGTTCTCGTTTCAGGGTCAGGCCAGAAAGGTATGAACAGAAAAGACCGAATTTCTAAAAGTCGTTAATACATTTTTTATTGGAAATCGTGCTCTGTGCACGTGCCCCCCTGCTGCTGATGGTGCAGATGGTGCTGCTGACACGAATCCCACCCCTGCCCTTCACACACACTCACTCACACACTCACTCACTCACTCACTCACTTGCCCGCTGCCCACTCCCCCCTCTTCGCAGGTGGCAGCAGGGGAGGCAGGGGGGATCACTCAGGCCATCGGTGCTTACCGTGTGCACTTGCCCTCTGCTGCTCCTGCTGCTGCTGTTGGTGCTGATGCTGATGCTGATGGTGTTGCTGCTGTTGAGAAGGCTGCTGCTGGGACTTGTGTTTTTCTCGACACACCAGGGCATGAGGTGAGGGCGTGAAGGGATGGGATTCGGTGGAATGGGATGGGATGGGACGGGACGGGACGGGACGGGATGGGACGGGACGGGACGGGACGGGACGGGACGGGACGGGACGGGACGGGACGGGACGGGACGGGACGGGACGGGACGGGACGGGATGGGATGGGATGGGATGGGATGGGGTGACATGCCATGCCATGGCATGTGATAGTCCAGGCAGACAAGCAATTCCACCTTCCCCTCACCTTCCGCCATAGAAGCTTGTTTAGCTTGTTTGAGAATTCTCAAAAGCAATTCCACCTTTGAGAATTCTCAAAAGCAATTCCACCTTCCCCTCACCTTCCTCCAGCTCCTTTGCTTTCAGGCATTCAGCGCTATGTGTGCCCGGGGTGCAAGGGTAACAGACATAGCAGTGGTGGTGGTGGCAGCAGACGATGGGGTCATGCCCTTCAGACCACAGAGGTTAGTTGCTCATGCTGGCACCCTGCTCTCTCTTCCTACACCCCCCTCCTCCTCCCCGTGCAGGCCTTGAGTGCAATGAGAGCCAGTGGAGCAAGGGTGGCGGACATAGCAGTGGTTTTGGTGGTTGTGAGGGGGAGCGGACGATGGGGTCATGCCCCTCTCTCTGACTCTTGAACCCCATCTTCCTCCTTTTCGTGCGTGCAGGCCTTCAGTGCTATGCGTGCCCGGGGAGCACGTGTAACAGACATAGCAGTGGTGGTGGTGGCAGCAGACGATGGGGTCATGCCTCAGACCTCAGAAGCCATAGCCCATGCGCGCGCTGCCAACGTGCCCATGCTCATCGCTATCAACAAGGTGTGATTGTAGCACGGTGTGCTTGTACGGGGGATGCTTGTACTGGGAAGTTGCCCGTGTGCTTTAGGTGGAAGCAGACGATGGGGTTATACCGCACACCTCAGAAGCAATAGCCCATGCCCGCGCTGCTAGTGTTCCCATGCTCATCGCAATCAACAAAGTGTGCTAGTAGCAAGGTGTGCTTGTAGTGAGATGCGCTTGTATTGAGGTGCGCTGATATTGAGGTGCGCTTGTATTGAGGTGCGCTTGTACTGGGAACAAGCAATGTCGCATGATTGGGAATTCAGATAATGCTCGTAACTGCTTGTTTGATTTAAGTGGGTGCTATTTTAACTGTGATTGTAACAGGCAGGCTGAATTCCTCCCTCCACTTGTGATGTGATCCCATTTCCCTTCCTCTCGACGTATTTTACTTTTGACCCAGATTGACCGGGAGGGAGCGAGTGTGGAGAGGGTAAAGCACCAGCTGGGGCAAGCAGGGGTGCTGCCAGAGGAATGGGGCGGAGATACACCTATGGTGCCGGTGAGTGAGATTGGAATGTGGGAGGGAGAGTAGCACATGTTTGCTACAGTCATGTGAGTGTGGAGAGGGTAAAGCAGCAGCTGGGGCAAGCAGGGGTGCTGCCAGAGGAATGGGGAGGGAACACGCCCATGGTGGTGGTGAGCGATTCTAATGGGTTTGGGAGAGGGGGGGTGGGTGGAGAGTCGGACTCAGAAGTTCACGTGTTGCCAGAGGACTGGGCAGCAGCTGGGGCAAGCAGGGGTGCTGCCAGAGGAATGGGGAGGGAACACGCCCATGGTGCCGGTGAGTGTGATTATAGGGGGAGTGGATGGAGATTAGCTTAGGCTGCCCATGTTGCCCAAGTTTGACCTTAGTGGTTGGGCGCTTGGAATCATTCCAAGCCATGATTCCATCACTCAGGCTTTGCTGAGTTGGTCCGTGCATCTTAGTCCAATTCCATTCAAAAAAAGCCTGCAGCAACAAGGAGTTGGACTCTAGTCCGTGCATCCATTTACCCTGGATCTCACCCCACCCCTCCCCACCCCACCCCAAACCTACCCCACTCCACCCCACCGCACTCCACCCCCCTTGACACTTCATCCGCAGGTGAGCGCCAAGACAGGAGAGGGCGTGGATCAGCTTCTCGAGACGATCATGCTCCTGGCCGAGGTGAGAAACGAAAGGAAGAGAATTCAGGCCGGTGGAGTGGGGTGAAGATAGGTTGAGTGGATTAGGAAGGTGAGCGCCAGGAAAGGAGAGGGCGTGGATCAGCTCCTCGAGACGATCATGCTCCTGGCAGAGGTGAGAAACAGGAGGAGGGTGGAAAATGGTGGAAAGTGGTGAAGAAGGGCTGAGTGGTTAAGGAGATCTGGATGGGTGGGAGAGTGGGTTGGATCAGTCATTCTCAGGGGTGGATGCATGGATGGTGCACTCTCAACATCTTGCACTTTTTGCTCCTCTGCACCCCTCTGCACCCCTCTGCACCCCTCTGCTCCCCTCTGCTCCCCTCTGCACCCCTCTGCTCCCCTCTGCACCCCTCTGCTCCCCTCTGTACCCCTCTGCTCCCCTCTGTACCCCTCTGCTCCCCTCTGCTCCCCTCTGTACCCCTCTGCAACCCTCTCTATCTTCCCCTTCGCAGATTCAGGAGCTTCGTGCCAACCCTAACAGGCCAGCTGTGGGGACGGTGATAGAGGCGAGGCTGGACCGACACAGAGGGCCTGTGGCAACGCTGCTGGTGCTGGCGGCAGCGCTGATACTCGTGCAGAAAGGCACATTCTTACACACCTTCTTCCACCCCTCTGCACTCCTCAGCTGTCCCCACTCGCAGATTCAGGAGCTTCGTGCGAACCCGAATAGACCAGCAGTGGGGACAGCAATAGAAGCAAGGCTGGACCGACACAAAGGGCCCATGGCGACGCTGCTGGTGGTGGTGGTGATCCTTGTGCAGAATGAAACTCTTCCACCTCTCTACACCCCTTTGCACTGCTCCACGTTGCCCCCTCTTGCAGATTCAGGAGCTCCAGGCCAACTCGAATAGACCAGCAGTGGGGACAGTGATAGAAGCGAGATTGGACCGACACAGAGGACCTGTGGCAATGCTGCTAGTGCAGAATGGGACGCTGAAGCTGGGAGACGTGGTGGTTTGCGGGGAGGCGTATGGCAAGGTGAGGGGAAAGGGGTGGTAGGAGTTGACATGGAAAGGGAGACTTCAAAGGGGGAATGAGGGCCCGTGGCAACGCTGCTGGTGCTGAACGGCACGCTGAGACTGGGAGACGTGGTGGTTTGCGGGGAGGCCTATGGCAAGGTGAGGGCTTGAGGGGTTGAGATGGGAGAGGGGGTGGGGAAAGGGAGAGGGCTGCTGGTGATGCTTCTGGTGCCGAATGGGACGGTGAGTCTGGGAGACGTGGTGGTGTGCTGAGAGGCGTATGGCAAGGTGATACACAGTGAGCACGACAGCAGCAGCAGCCCCCTCAGCAGCAGTGCAGGTGGAGGGTCTGTCCTGTGTGCCAGTGGCAAGGGACGAGTTCCACGTGCTGCTGTGCATTGATGCAGCCTGGGGTTTATGCCTACTCCAACCCCCCTCTCTTATTCCCCTCTCTCCCAGGTTCGAGCCTTGGTAGGTGATACGGTGACCAGGGCAGCAGCAGCACCCCCATCCACAGCAGTGCAGGTGGAGGGGCTCTCCCATGTGCCGGTGGCAGGGGACGAGTTCCACGTGCTGCCGTCCATTGATGCAGCCAGGGGCATGGCTGAGGAAGCTGCTGAAAAAGCGCGAACGGCTCGGCTGGCAACGATGCAGGGAGAGGCGAAAGTAACCCTCTCTGCTTTCGCCACTGCTGCTGGCGCTGGTGGTGCTGCTGCTGGTGCTGCCGCTGCTGCTGGTTCCGCTGCTGCTGCTGGTTCTGGTGCTGGTGCTGGGACTTCTAGCGCTGCTGGTGCAGGGAGAGAAGGAGAGGAGAGGGGGGAGGAGGAGGAAGAAGTGGAATTGCATGTGGTGAACGTGATTCTGAAGGTGGACTGTCAGGGGTCGGTTGAGGCAGTCAGAGAGGCATTGAGTGCCTTGCCCCAAGACACCGTGTCACTGCGCTTCCTGCTGCAGGTGAGGGGCATTGGGACAAGGGGTGGAATGGGATAGGTGCAGGTTGAAAGGGGAAGAGGAAGGGGAAGAGGGAGGAAGAGGAAGTGGAATTACACGTGGTGAATGTGGGTTCTTAAGGTGGCCTGCCAGGGATCTGTGGAGGCGATCAGAGAGGCTTTAAGTGCTCTGCCTCAGGACACCGTCTCACTGTGCTTCCAGCAACAGGTGAGACACACGGGCTTTAGTGGATGAAGAGAGGATGGGGGGAGGGGATGGGGAAAAGGGGAGAGGCTGGGGTTTTGACGTGCTGCATGCTGTGTCATTGCGCTTCCTGCTGCATGTTGTGTCGTTGCGCTTCCTGCTGCATGTGAAGCGACGAGAGGGAGAGAGGATGTGCTTCCTTCCCAAATTTCCCATTCTTTCTCGACCCACTCTGCTCAATCGCTTATGAGAAATCACTTATGAGAAATCACTTTAGAAATCGCATATGAGAAATCGTTTATGAGAAATCACTTATGAGACAAAACCCTCATCTACAGCTCAAACACTCTCTCCTTCGCATTCTAATTCTCCGTCCTAACCTGCCCACCCTCCCAGGCCCCTGGTGACGTGTCGAGCAGTGACATTGACCTGGCAGCGTCCAGCTCAGCGGTCGTGCTGGCATTCAACGCGGGGGTGTCGCCAGCTGTCGCACCAACGGCGGAGATGAGGGGCGTGCGAGTGAGGCAGCACCGGGTGATCTACGATATGGTGGAGGAGGTTCGAGCGATTATGGAGGGGCTGCTTCATACTGTAGAGGTGCGTTACACGCTTGTTACACTAATTATATACATATACATATGTGCGTATACACATGGACATGAGTAAGGCAGTATCGGGTGATGTATGATGTGGTGGAGGACGTTCCAGCAATGATGGAGGGGCTGCTTCACGCTGTACAGGTATGTTACAAACTCGTTATATCATATATATACACAAATATATATACCCATATTTACAGATAAAAGTATATATCAACATACATACATATATATATTAGTATTAATGAATCGCAGTGGAGGATTTGAAGGACGATCTATGCTGTGGTGGAGGAGGTTCGGGCGATCATGGAGGGGCTGCTTTATTCTGTGGAGGTGCGTTATGGTACATGCGTGTTATACTATGTATGAATGGTTATGAACTTATGATCCTGTATACCCCACCTTGTGAAAATACCAGGAGAGCTCGTTCCTCGGCCGGGCGGAGGTGCGGGCAGTTTTCGGCACGGGCAGCACGCGGGTGGCAGGAGTCATGGTGACAGAGGGGCAGCTGCAAAAAGGATGCATTGTTGTAGTGAGGCGTGGTGGGGGAAGGGGCGGTGGTTTGAGGGGTGGGAGTGTTGGTGCAATGGCTGCTGAACAAGAGAAAGCCAAGAACGTGAAGGGGAAGAGAGACAAGTCGGGCGAAGCATTGGGAATGAGGCGGCAGCAGAAGCAGCAGCAGAAGCATTTGGAGGGTCGCTGGGTGCATTCAGGGCAGGTGACGTCTCTTCGGCGCGTGAAGGAGCATGTGGGGGAGATGGTATATGGGCTGGAGTGCGGTGTGGGTGTGGAGGGCTTTAATGGGTGGCAGCAGGGTGACTATATCGAAGCCTATGAGGTGACGCATAGGGCTCGGACGCTAGAGGATGCGTCTAAGGAGATTGCGCGAGTGGTGGAAGGCAAACGAGGGGCCCTGGGGATGGATCTGTCGTAGTGCTAGTTTGAAGGGTTTTGTATTAAATGCTATGAGGTGTGTCAATCAGATGGCTTGGGACACCAGGAGATTGCATTTGCCCAGTGCTTACTTGAAGATTGATTGTAGTAATGCATGCTTATATTTTGTTTCACCAGGCTCGGTTGGACACTGCAGGTTTGCCAAGAAAAGAGGAGAGGACCCTAGAGTGCGCCTATTACTGTGTGACACTGGGTCCTAACTGGAGTGTCTGAGAGCTGTCCTTACTGTATAGGTCCTTGACTCGAGTATAAGCAGGTACGCACATTCCAATTCAATTAGTCATTCATGTTACCTACTACCTACCCAGCTCATTAGCAGTACATAAAACCGGGTGCATTGCTCATTTTACAGTCAATTGAAGGATGCGGATTTACAAGGCGGATGAGGACAAAGCAAACACCTATCACCAAATTCTAATCCTATCGATAATTATTCTCCGTCCAGGGTCCATCAGGTTCTAGTGTCAGTCCCAGATAGTCACGTGGACGACCTTGAAAGTAAGCAGGATAAATACCGATTGGCCGGAAAATACGAAACCTTGCTTAGCTTGCACCCAAGCAGAGATTGATGGCATCAGATTCGGCGATGAACGTCTGCCTTCATTCATGTCGTCGCGCCGAGTGCAAAGCTTTGCACTTCTGAAGAGCTTGAAAATGCTTGGCCGCAAAGTTAGGAAAGGATATCCAGGATCTTCGACGAAGGAGTCAGCTTGCTCGTGAAATGTCAGCTTCCGAATTAAATTAAGTTGACGATGATGCTCCCGCACGATGATGCTTTCAGTGACTCTCAGGCAAAGTCATCGCAGTGCTGGAGTTGGAATTCCCCGTCGATATCGAAATTGCAGAGTCAGATTCCAACAACGAGAAATCAAGACGACGAATGAAGCCGCGAGAAAGCGGTTTCCGCGAGGTGGCGAAGACTTTGAATGTTCCTTTGCTCTTGACAGGTGCTCCGGGACAGACGAGGGCGGAAGCACGCGTACTCAACGGCGTTCCGATAACCTTGACGTTAATGCAGCCGGTTTGCCGTCCACGAGACCGTTTCACCGACAGGCGAGGCGTGGCTGCGCCTGAGTCTCTTGATTCAGTTACATTAGCTGCAAAGTTCGATCCCGAGAAGTCGACTGCCGTGAGATCGTTCATGCTCTTGCATCGAAGCTGCATCGGGCCCGCCATTTCAAAAGAAGAATTTGGCAGGAAATTGGTCGTACACGTCGGAGCCATGAGGTAGGAAATGCAGGGGGGTTGAGTTGCAGATGCACGTGAACTGAAGATAGGGGAGTGAAACTGAAATGAGAAATTTAGATGGCTGTCGAAGATGAACAAATAGGTGGTCGCCTGACGTCTGAGCGGCGCGCAGATGTCAACGACCAACAGACGAAGAAGAACGCGGAAACAATCCACAAATTGAAGGAACGGTGCCAACTCAGAAGGACGTATCAGTCAAGAAACACCTAAGGTGAAAGCCAGCAAATGTCAAACACTGAGCAGCAACTGAATATGCAGTTGCAGCAATGAGCTGTATTTGTGCTGGAGACAGGGAAGCTGTGGGGGAGGAGGAAAGAAGGGTAGAAGATGGGGGGAGCGGGGAGATGTGGGGGAAGTTTGGAGGAAGAAGATTGGGGAATGGGGGAGGTGTGGGGGAAGTTTGGGGGAAGAAGTGGGTTTGCGGGGTTGATTTCGTAACAGAAACGGCAACGAGGGTGGTGATTCCGCGCGAGGGGGAGTCAAGAGGGGCGGGGAAGGTAGGGAAAAGAGGAAGGAAAGGGACCAAGGGGTTCCAGTTTTAGCTGAAATAATGGGCAGGGGGGAAAGAGGGGGAAATGGCTTGGGGGGATGAGGGACGAAGCTGTGCTTGCATTGACCTCACCCTCACGCCACCATCGATTTATGATGACGCCCGCGAGTGCGCTGATTGGCTGAGCCGGTTTTTGAAGAACCTGAGGAAGCAGCAATAACGCCGAAATCTGGTTACGATACGTGGCTTGTTGAATGGGGGGACGAACATCGCTAGGCTTGCTGGGTTCAGTTCGGTGGGGCGAGGCTGGGGCGGTGAAGTTGAGGACGCGGTAAGAGTAGACGATCGATCGTGAGCTACGATCGGTGTGCGGATTAGTTACACTGTTTACGGACTTGTCAACATATTGTGAACAGGTAGTGAATGCGACTGATCAATGATCGGTGTTCAACTTTCCTAGGCATCACTGTGCAGATGATGTTCACGAACCAATCGCAACAGGCACGATTGATGTTGATGCCAGCGAAGTGCTGTAATTTCGCAAAGCGGGTGAATGGAGTCGTGCATAATTCCCGCAATGTGGGCCTGTGGGCTGCGAATGTCGCTTTTGGTTGCCCTGTGGGCTGCGAAGTGTCGCAAGTGTTGTAGGGCGGTCCGGGGTTGTCTTCGACGGTGTCGCAGGCAAACCCAAAATATCGATTGTGGAAGAGCCAACCCATCACGATGTGGCGATCGTTACAACCAAGTGGGCCCCTCGTTTCGCCAATCGATCCGCCCAATCGATTCTGGGGCTAAAAAAACAATCGCGATCCTGCGATCCCCCTCCTTTTACCGCGTCCTGAGGGGGACCACGCCACAACCCACGCGTGAGCCAAGTTCGTTTGGCGGGAAATTCAAGCTGGAAACCATTCGAATTTCCCGCTGATGGTCAGGTGTCGCCCGATTGTCAACATGCGAAACCCCCACCTGTCCAATGCCAACACTACAGTGTGGTCCCAAAATCGCGTCCGATTCCGCCCCACGGTTAGGGGGCTGCAGTGCAATGTCATCTTCAACGGGGTGCCAGCAAGGAAGCTTCCAAGAAGGAGACAAAGTTGGAGTAGATGTACTTGCCCTACCCGGAAATTAGTTGAAGGTTGACATATTCTGAAGGTCCGCTGAGATCGCACTAAAAAGCAAAGCAGCTATTAGCAAAAAATGACTTGCTGCCTTGGATTACCATGACTCCACAAAGAGATCAGCCTCTTAAACCAGAAAGTGCTCCCAACCTATCCAGTTCTCTCAGCAAAACCCTGTTGGACGGTCGAAGGACTCATCGTATTTATCCCTAAATATCTTATTGCATACAGTTTTGTACCCTGGCCACCGCCAACAGCCGCGCTTTTTACAATGACGTAAAGCAAGCGTGAGGCTGTTACGTTGAACTGTTGCCACCTAATGGTGACTGTATTCCACGTCAGGCTCGTGAAAGAATCTGATGTCACCACTCCTGCAGTCAGACTTTCGCATTCAGGACAGCAGCCCAGCAAATGCGTGATGCTTAGTCCTGTTGAGAGAGGAGGACCGCCGCCACTGTACAAGCCCTGCCCATAAACTGAACTAGGCACTTTAAATTTCATGTACATAGAGTAGAAACTCGCTAGGTTCAACGAAGAGACAAAATTTGTGATTTTCCCACACAACTTCCATTATGTGTGTACTTTCGCTTCGGTTGATGTTCAGTCCAGCGGGGAATGAGAAATTGCCGCTGGCGCGCCTACCAGCTTCACACAGTCAGCACGAGGCTGATCAATGATGGTTCACGTGATCTGGTTATTAGACGACAAGAATCGGATGTGGTGTGAAAGGTCGGATTCTGCACTGTATTCTTTGGCCATTTTTATTCCAAGGTGGAAGAGGTGAGGTGAGGAGGACACATCTTATTTTGAGCCAGTGATCAAGTTGGGCTCAACACTAACTGTGGCGATTTCCGAATAGGCGACCTCAACAATAAGTGTGGCTAATTTCTGCATTGAGCTATGCAAAACGAGTGACCCGAGTGTGAACAACCTTGAAGCCGACCAATTTCCTAAACCAAATACGTTCCACTTATTTCGGGCCAAAATTTCGCCACGTCAGGCTCCAACATCACAATCAGCAGCTGTCATAAAGGCATAACTGCGTACAGTTACTGTGGATGAAGGACCCAACCCAACGCAGCCGTGGCTCTGCCAGCCAGCCTGCCAGGCTGGCTGGCACCCCAACGAGCACCAAACAGAACCCCCTGATTCCAGAGCCACCAGTTTCTGATAAGTATCCTTCGAGAATGGATTCTTGTGCTTCTCACGAACAGATACCCCTGTTACAACAACGCACTTACGTCTGTTGCATTGTGCTCTTTATAGTGTCTTTCATCTAATAAAAACCGGTACAATAAGCAAACAGTTGACAGAAATCACAGTGCAACTTAGTAAGTCATTTTAGTGATACGGAATCATCCAGTTCACAGAGAGAAAGCACTATCATGAGCATCTCAACCTTCACAGTATACAATGTACATCGCAAAAAAACATAGAGGTTAAGAGCAACCACCTATGGTAATTCTGAAACATATTTGTAACAAACAAGGTTACCGCCGAGGTGGAGGGGCACCTCGGCCCATCATGCCCATAGGAGCACCTCCATCTGGTGCTGCTCCCAGCGCTCCCCTTGCTGCAGACCTAGCTTTAGCTCGCATGGCCACAGCTCTGCCCCTGCCCACTCCCAAGTTGGAAGACCCCTTGCCCTGAAGCACACACACAGGGGGTTGGGTGGGGATGCAAGGAGATGAAGTGTGTGTGAGGAAGGGTATGCCCCTTGCTGCAGACCTGGCTTCGGCTCGCATTGCCGTGGCTCTGCCCCTGCCCACACCTAGGTTGGACGTCCCCTTGCCCTGAAGCATACAGAAGGGGGTTGGGTTGGGGATGCAAGGAAATGAGTGTGTGTGTGTGGGGGGAAAAAGGGAATGCCCCTTGCTGCAGACCTAGCTTTAGCTCGCATGGCCACGGCTCTGCCCCTGCCCACTTCCAGGTTGGACGACCCCTTGCCCTGAAGCACACGCAGAGGAGTTGGGTTGGGTGGAATTGATAGTTGAGTGTGTGGGTGAGAGTGACTATATGTGAGTGTGAGTGCGTGGGGATAAATAAATGAGTGAGGTTAAGCTTGCATGAAAAAAACTTCTTCCTGCCCAGGTTCGATGACTGTTTTCCCTAAAGCAAACACTA